CGGGCCACTAAGCCATTCATTGACGATTCACGTTCGTCACGAGGGAGCAGCAGCAACAAGTGAAGAGTTGAGTGAGTTCTTGCCTTCGTGGCAGATGGTGACAGCAGCAGTGATTGAGCTAACGCACTCACACGCATGCTGATCCCAACTTCCGCGCGGAGGGCCGATGTGATTTGCACGGCTCTGGTGCCCCATGGGAGCACATCTGCAGGCGCGCATGTGCACTCCGCAATCTTGCCATTCCAGGTTTGCTCCACCACTCGATCACGCTCTTCGGGTTCAAATTCGAGTGCGCTTGCGGTGCAGCAAGTTTCGAAATTGACTCCCAAGGTGATGTCTGCGGTGCGAGTCGTGGTGTTTGCACGCCAAGTCTGAGTGTTGCCATGAGTCATGCAGAACTCATGTGGGACGTGACTTGCCCTTTGCGTTCGCGTCGTCGCGCCTGATTTTACTGCCAAACTTTCTGTGGCTGACAAGCATCGTGAACGTCACCAAAACGTCACTTCCCCTGCTTCATCAGCCGCACACAGCTGGAAGCGCGACAGGGAGTATTGCCAGGAATCCGCAACCGTGACTTTGCTCAAGCCCATCCCAGGTATCGGGTGCAGCGTGTTTGGATGCGTCTCTTCTTCTCTGCAGGAAGCGCACTGTAACAAAGACTAGAGTAAAGCATGCGTTTTGCAAAAGGTGTAAGAGACAGGTGAAATGCAGGTCTTGATAGGGGCCAATAATGAAGATCGCGAAACGATGTAAGAGCCAAAGGTGACAAAGGAGGGTGGGTCATGCGGTCGTGTGTACCGAGAGGAACAGGCGCGGGGGTAAGGGGGGTATGTAAGTGGTAGTAGTACAATGGGATGAAGAGCAGAGTGCTTTCCAACGACAATGCCAGTCCGATAAATACTTCGCGCTGAAGGCCGTCTTGTGATGAAAGGCGTGCGGGGCGTTGTGAGTAATCAGAAGTTGGAGCCACTGAGCATAGACTCGGACTGATTCAAAAAGGCAAACAAGGAAGGTTGTCAGTTGATTATGAAAGAAATTCGGCTCTCCGCACTACTCACCTCTTCGGCCACATTGTCTAGAGGCATTCCCGGTTGATACCGTGCTCGTAAGGCCATGACATGATCCTCTGCTTCTGCACTTTCAAGTTCTTCGGCGTTCTCACGCTCGCTGTAGAGACGCAGTGGGCGCTCGTTGTCGTCACGAACATATCGGGATGCGGACTCATCAGGATAGATGGAGTCTGTATCGGTTGCGCCGGCGCTATCCTCAGAACGACGCCCAGCGGCCGACTCGGTCTCGTCAGCGTCATCATTGACAAGCGCGGCTGCAGCTACTGACGGCGACTGAGGCGCATTCGTGAAAGCAGTGAAGCCATTTGCTCCGGTTGGCTTCTTGCTTGGCGAGGGGTTAGGACTGGAGATGGCAGAGCCTGGGAAGGGAAGCTTGGCGGGGGAACGTTGGATGCCTTCCGAATTGGTCGGAGAAGCAATGCCCGCCTTGCCAGGCCCTCCAAATTTTGAAGCAATAGCAGACACGCGACCTGCCGTCGGGTTCTTGCTGAACGGATCCACACGAGGCCGCGCATTGGGTGTTGTCGCTGGCGATACGGGCTTCTGGGGGCTCTGAGGCGTGTTGGCTTTTCGAACGTCCACACTTTGCAATCCTGCTCGCAGCTCGCGAGCGCGCTCCTTTGCCGCATCGATGCGAGCTTGACGAACTCGTTCCTTCTCCGCGGGACTCGCATCAGGTCCGGGCATCGCGGGAATGACGGATCGAGTGCTCTCACGAGTGTCATCTGCACCATCGACTTCCATGCGATCCAAAGGAGGCGAGCGCCGTGCTAGATGCGGCTCGCCATGGGCTGCCGACGTGCTGGAGGACTTCGCAGTGGGAGAAGCAGACGGGGTCGCTTTGACACCGGCAGATCTTGGTGATGTCAACTGTGGAGAGCGTTCAGGGCTACGAGTCGTAGCCTGCACCTCCGTCAATAGACCGTCGCGTGCATGGGGCTGCAGGTAAGGAAGTGAAAAGTCGGCATCGCTATCCTGAGCAGGAACGCCATTGCGGGCAGGCTCCCGGGACCAGCCCGCAGCGGCGATCGCAGCGGCAGCAGATGCTGGTCCAGGGCTGACAACAGTAGGCGCGACCTGGACATGTGCCGGTGCACTGGCAGGCAATTGAGTGTTGTTGTGCGCAGGGGACCTGCTGGAGCCTCCCGGCAGACTTGCATCGCGAACAGGGAGTGTCACGGGACGCGAGGAATTTGCAGGAAGGGGTGCGACGCCATGACCTGGTGAAGGCGTCGAGCCGTCTGCTGCCTTGGGCTTGATGCCCGGCGGGGGTGCGTCTTGACCAGTCATCCGTGACTCGTTAGCCTTGACCATTACATCCAACCAAGAATCGTCTTTGCTTTCGCGGCGCGGATCACGCCGGAGAGCATTTCTCACACGCCCCCCACTTGGTGGCCCATCGCTAAAATTCAAGGCAGCCATATCCGGGTCATGCACACTGCGCGTCTCAAAGTCCGCCGATGACCACGAGGATTTTCGGACAAGGCCGTTTGACACATCCGATGCCCTCGCCTGGTTTTCAACTGGTCGCATAGCGGCAGGCAAGGTTGCACTGTGCTTTGGCGGAACGGCAGGTGCCACGCCTTCCTCATCTCCGTAGGAATTTTCATGGCCTGACCTGCCTCGCCTAGTACGCGAACGCAGGTGGTTGAGAAGACGACCTGCGGCGGGCTCCTCATTGCTTGGCGTGACCGCTCCTGAGGGCAAAGGCGAAGACCGATCGTAGCTAGCATTCGGCACTACGCCAGCATCCGCGCGACGTTGGTCGCGTGTTCTGACCGTCGTGTAGGTGGTTGATCGTTCTATATCGAATGCTCTGGATGTTGCGGCAGGATCAGGCAGTCGAAGTTGTTTCGTCATGCCCCCGACACCCGGGCGGAATGGATCGTTTGGATTGTACGGCAAAGACTCTTCCGATCTGTCCTTCCACATGCGCTTGAAGACGTTGAACTTCCGAACGTAAGCTTTGCTGCGTCGCTTGAGACGACCAGCAGCGTCCAGATCGCTGCGGTATTGAGATGGCACAATTTCCTGCACGACAAACCAAGCAGCATCCGTGCGGTCGTCGGCTTGGATTGCCTCGCCAAACTCGTTGTGATCGCGAACGCTGACACTTGTCGGCAGGGAGGCCGACGCTGACGACGCACCCTTGCCTACTGTCCACGGCGCTGGACGGCTCTTATACTGTACCACCACGAAATTGGCATTCCGATGTGTCAGCTCATCCCTGTTGCTCCAGCCACTACCTAAGCAGTAGTCGGCCCAGCATTCAGCAAAGAGATCATCCATCCGAGAAATCGGATATTCTTGCCACTGTCCAGAGTGCTCCGACCCATCGCGCGAAGGGCTCGCCACACAGACTGGTGTCGTGTCGTAAGGAAAGGGCGGCAGCTTTTTGACCTGATTTCGCAATTGCTCCATAAGTTCCGCGCGCTGCGAGGGCCACTTTCGCATGTCCTCTTTCAACCCGTCGTCAAAGCTAAGAACTTCGCGGAGGCCATCGTCCGTGGCGACAAAGCCTTGCTCTTCGAACTTGTCCCAGGCCATCGATTGCCGCTTGTGTCGGGCTTTGCGCTCGCTCTCGCGAAGATCAAAGGCCAGCTTTGATTGATCAGGTGCAGCAAAGCCATCGAGCATGAAATCACCCCAGTCTTTTGCAGACACGGATTCGTAAGCCTCGAATTCCAAGTCTCCAGCTCGCAAAATTTGAGATGCGCTCCTACCAATCGTGTTGACCTCCCCTTTTCGCCCTTGACCTGTGCCTCCTCGAAGGTTGACGAGTTTGCGGAAGCGATCCGAGAGTTGCGGATGCTGGCCATGGTAGTCGCTGTCGCTACAGCACGCGGCCCATTCTTCTGAGTCGTTTGTCAGGTCAATCTCACCGGCGGTCTGGACGAGGTCAGCACTGTAAAGCCGTACCTGACGCTCCACCTGCGTAATAGGTACGCCTTGTACGTGTCTAGCCGGGTGATTAAGCTCAGTAGAGAGCATCTTGGGGTATCCTTTTATGTGGTCTGCTAGCCTCATGGGCAATGCCTCCATCGTGCTGATGTCCCGGATGTATGCGTGCAGAAGATGCTCCGTGGCGTTGCCCGCCCGCACATAGGAATCGTAGGTGCGCTCAAACGTATCGTCCTCAGGCAAGCCAAAGATCAGCGCACCAAAGATGCGCGAAATCTTGGACGGTGTCATGCCGTTCTTATGGCTGTATGAGGAGGTTGAGGAGAGCAAAGAAAACAGCGTGGTGAGAAGCAGGGAGGCTGATGTATCGGTCAAAAGGTCGATGAAAGCGGAGAAGGCAGTCGGAGGAAAGTCGCGATCTAAGTGGGGTCCGTGTGCATGGGTCATCAGAAGGTCGCAAGTGATCTGACATGCGCGCTACTCACTCCTCTCTTCCTCGCGCCAAGCCATGTAGTGCTCTAGCTCGAGGAAGCCGCGCTGCTGCACGACGATTGTTTCCTCCTCCAGCTCGCCTTTCCTCCCAGGCCCTCCCTTCGCAGGAGTGGGTACAGGCACGGCGAAGATGCGACCCATTCGTGCCATCGCCCATTTGATGACAGTAGCGAGGTCGTGGGGGTTAGCAAACCGTATTTCGTCCAAGAATCTCGAGGGTAGCGATTCTGGCTGCGCAGTGCCGTCCGCGCGACCAGTGATGGTGGTCTGCGAGGCATTACGATCTGAGTCATTCAGACCCGCCAGATAGCTTTTGATTAGAGAGCCCGTGTTGCTGGGCGACACGTCTAGCGCCATGGATGAGAATATGAGGGGCGAGTCGATACCTGCAAGAAGCGAGACCAAAGTGAAAGCGCTTCCGTTGAGAATATGATTCACGCAATGTCAATGCTCGGGGTCAGGCCAATCCCTCACCTCTGCGACGAATCTGGTCGCCACATGCCATTACTAGGTCTGCAACTTGGGCAGCATCGAGTTGAGTGTCCCAACCTTCGTGGGCATAGCCATATGTGTAGGGCTCTACCTGCTCCTGCACAGCATATACGGATCCCGGACCCTTCGTTGGACTAGCAACTCCAAGAGTGACGGGAGTGGTGGCTGTCAAAGGCACTAAAGGCAGCGTGCCAGAGCGATTGGGCTTGCGAGCAGATGCCTGGAGGCTTGAAGATCCGAAGCGATCCTCTGACCGCTTCCCAAATGAGGCAGTCATATAGGGGCTTTTGGAGGTCGGAGACCGTGCAGCTCCGAATTCGGTCATCGAAGGACCGGAGGCGGGAGTACGGTATTCTGGTTGATACGTTGCGGGAAGGTCATCATGACCAGGCACATCAGGCAGTGGGCGGGCGTCTTGATCGCTTGGTGAAGCAGCTCGAGCCAGCAAGTCGCTGGAAGAGATCCCGTTGCCGAAGCGAAGTGCGCCTAGCTCGCTGCCAGCAGGCCGCTGTCGGCGTGAGAATAGCGTTGGCATGTTGAGAGCAAAGGTGTAGGCTCAGCAAATGGAGACTTGAGAATTTGGGGCGATGTGATGAAGGCCAAAGAGCTCAGATCGAATCCTTGAGCGTCGTCCTTGAATGGTGACCACGAAGCTAAAGATCGCGCTGTTCTGCACCGCTCGCAGCAGACGTTGCAGCTTGGGTTTCGAGCGCCTATAGCACGACCGCTGCGATGCC